TTCTGCCAGAACTGCATTGCCTTGACGTTCGTGACCGAAAGCCTATACTTTTCAAATACATCGATAAATCGAGCTCGAAAGTTGGAACCCTCCTTCGCATCCACCACGATCTTCATGTGCGTGAGATCGGTAGCACTTAAATTATCGCTTTTAGGATAAATCACTCCCGGCTTGTACTTGAGTGTAGCCTTATTGCAAGTATACCGCAGTGTCCCGTATATGTGTAACATGTACGTCACGCTCCCGGGAAACATGAACAGTGAGCCCGTTTTACAGCTGCAGGCGATCGATAACACGTCGGGGGACGTCGAAGTCGCTCTCTGCGATCTCACCTACTACCCGCGATGGGCGAACATCAGTCAACGTCAAGGGAACAACAAGATATTCATCGATGGCAATCGCCACGAGTTGTCCGACGGTTATTACAGAGTGTACATGCTCCACAAAGAAATATTCAAACCCATGGGAGCCAGCCTCAAACTCAATGAGTCGAACGGAACGCTGACATTCACGAATGGGGAAAAACCCATCCGATTCGGTAGGCCCTTGGTGAGAACGCTCGGGTTTCCGTCGAATAACGTACAACCCCAAGACACCGCCATGGGTTCGAAATTACCGAGCCTCGTGGTCTATCACGAGGTGTTCGTTCATCTCGATCGGGTAAGCACGACAGACAACATTCAAGGCGAACGACGGCGAGGATTCGACGAACCCAGTACGGAAAATGCCTTGTACGTATTGCACTTACAAAACAATGTGTACCAATGACGAGAAGTCATCGTCGAATTGAACTGGATCATCAATATCGTCCTGACCTACCTCTATCTCTTCATGGATCAGGATGGTCATATCCTCGAACTCAAAAAGAAAGGGATTCTACTGGGGAGTTTGTTCCGGTTCATAAAGAGGGAATGTACTCATCACCATTACCAGATCAAACGGGTTATATGCTAGTCCCTCACTGGCAAGACATAACAAAATGGCTCTATTTAAAACAATATAGTGAAGTCCCAGACTCGTGGATCACTGTGATACCAGGTTCTACCCTTATTATCCACGTCGTTCGATAATAAATGCCTCCGGACAACGGGTGGGTCTTCTGTTTGAGTTAAACATACGCTGGCACGATCACCATAAAAATCAACGCTGTCGTATTTATATACAACTAGGAACAGCTTCCACCACAAGCCTCGAGGGAGTCGAGGTTCTTATTACAGATGAAATTTTACTCCACCACCCGAACACCCGAACACGTGTACCTCATCAGCTTAAAGTATATTCATCAAATATTGACGGAGGATCAATTGAAGCTCATTTCCTAACTTATAATATACTCGAGATGGGATTGTATCCGGCCATGGACGACGTGGCTCAAACGCTCGAAACCGTGGATGGATTTCGTTTGTGACAGATCAGCGAAATTAAACACCAATTGTAACGAGAACGCGACGTGCGACTCGGATTGCACAAAAAGTACTATCAATGCCATCAACGGCATGGACACATCTCTCGTGGCAGTTAGCATGGGATTACAAGTAGCAGGCGTGGCTTATTATCCACCATCGTGGCCACACCCGTCGTCCTCGGGTAAGAAATAACCGCCGGGGTGTCGGGGCTGGCGGGAGTAGCCCTTAAATTCATTTCACGTCGTCTGCAACGGAAAGCGTTGAAGCATGACGAGATCAGGGTTCTGGCCGAAGCCAAGTTAAACACGATCAACGATCATATTTCCACCGCGATCACCGATAGCAAAATCTCCGAGGAAGAGTAAGGTTTGGTGATGTAGGAAATCGCAAAATACCACCAAATGAAAGAAGAGATTCGAACCAAGACTTGAAAACCACTGACATCGGTGAAGACGAGAAAAAAAGCTCATACAACAGGGTCGACAACAAATCATTCAAACCTTCCTTACCAAGAACAAAGATCTCATCAAAGATTCACCTTAAACTGTTTTGTTGATGTAAACATAAGCTAGTAAATAATAATAAACCCTCATCTTACTACTACTTTTCAAGAAACCCACATTAGGTCAACCCGACCATAGACCATGATTGTGGCTTCTAAAAATGTTTTTCAGCGTCTGGTTTCAAACCACAGCCAGAGAAACGACGAGAAGACTGATCCTGGCGCTACTAGGCTGGACGACCATCTTATTTAACTTGTTTCACTTGCAAAAGTTTCTGCCGATACCCCGTCTCCAACTCGTGTCGCTGGGTCACGGGTCACGAGTCCTACGCTCTACCATCACACCACCGGGACTCCCATTCAATCAATATTCGGAACTTTGGGTCTAGGCTGGAGGCACATCGAAGGATGCCTTTCGATAGACCATCGCCGTGTTTAAGGGGGCTGGGGAAATTATTTCATAAAAATAAGCCTCTAAGCCGCATGTGCGGCAACCCCTCCTCTCTACTACAACTCTTTAGAAAGTAGTAAATTTGGCATCTTAGAAAAGAAATACAGTTCGGTCTACCACCATGTATAGTGTAATAAAGCACACTTTCGCCCTGAACTATTATAACGATAATAAAAATCTAATAAACTGATTACTATGTAGGGTGAGACGAGTGACTGACTGACTGAGTTTAGTTTTACGCCGCTTTTAGCAATATTCCAGCAATGTCACGGCGGGGGACACCAGAAATGGGCTTAACACATTGTGCCCATGTGGGGAATCGAACCCGGGTCTTCGGCGTGACGAGCCAACGCTTTAACCATTAGGCTACCCCACCGCCCCTGAGACGAGTGAAGTAAAGTTAAGCTGATTACTATGTAAGGTGAGAAGAGCAATAAAGTACGGTGAAACTAATTACTATGTAGGTGAGACGGGTGATGAAGTACGATGAAAGTGATTACTTGTAAGGTGCGACGAGTAATGAAGTATGGTGAAACTGATTACTACGTAAGTGAGACGAGTGATGAAGTACAGTGAAAGCGATTAATATGTAGGGTGAGACGAGTGATGGAGTACAGTGAAACTGATTACTATGTAGAGTGAGACGAGTGATGAAGTACAGTGAAACTGATTACTATGTATGGTGAGACAAGTGATGGAGTTCAGTGACACTGATTACTATGTAGGGTGAGACGAGTGATCGAGTACAGTGAAACTGATTACTATGTAGGGTGGGACGAGTGATGGAGTACAGTGAAACTGATTACTATGTAGGGTGAGACAAGTGATGGAGTACAGTGAAACTGATTTCTATGTAGGGTGAGACGGGTGATGAAGTACAGTGAAAATATTTACTATGTAGAGTGAGTGATGAAGTACACTGAAACTGATTACTATGTAAGGGAGACGAGTGATGAAGTACAGTGAAAATGATTAGTATGTAGAGTGCGTTAACTAGAATAGTTCAGGGCGAAAGTGTGCTTTATTACACTATACATGGTGGTAGAGCGAACTGTATTTCTTAAATATCGTCGTCCAACTTTGATCCCACAGTTTCTGATGACTATGGCAGCGGTATGTAAGTAATCGGGTCTAGACTAGGCAGTCCGGTGATCAACAGCATGAGCATCGATCTACACAAGTGGGATACGATGACATGTGTCAACCAGATCAGCGATCCTGACCACCCGATCCCGTTAGTCGCCTCTTACGACGAGCATGGGTTGTTGATGACCAGTTCTATCCCTGATCTTTATGGGTCCTGATGGCTGCAATGGGCGGGTAAGTATATGTGTAAAGCAAGTGCACCCTCTACATATAACATTCATACAGTGTCATAAAATATTTGCTAAAAGAATAGACACATCCACCACAAGATACCCAAGACCTGCTATTTGTTGTTGTATCAGCTGAAATATTTGTTAAGTAAATTAGATTTTGGTTTGGTATGACTTGAACAAGGTGGTGGTGGAATTGGGTTTAACGTCGTGCTTGAGAATATTTCGCTCATATGACGACGTGCATGCGTGTTTATGTGTATATGCGGCTGCTTGTACTAGCCCAGACTTAAGATGGTTTTATAGTGCTAGCTCACTGAGATACCATGCCGCAGTGAAGCATGAACACCCCACTCAGACACATTATACTGACTCCGAGCCGACCAGTCCTTGTTGTACCCATTAATGCCGAGCGCCAGGCAGGGACCAACAAGTACCACATTTTAACATCTTTTGGTATGACGCGGTCGGGGATCGAACCCGCGAACTTCCGCACTCCGGGCGGACGCTCTAACCACTACACCACGGAGGCGGTCACTTGAACAAGGAGTTGGAGATGTTTCCCACATTTGCTAGGAAAGGTTATAGGAATGTTGGAGGCAAACCTGGTCACACAGTGTAAATTATGACTATAAAAAATCCGCGTTGGAACCAGAAAAGAATCTTAAAAAATAAAACTTGAGCAGGTTCAGATGTATTAATCACAAACTGGCGGCGGACACGGGTCGATGGCAAGAAGTTGCTGGAGACAGTAGAAAGTTTTTGTTTTATATCCTTAACGTCTCAGTTATGGCGGATGAGCTTCACTTTATAATATCTTGTTAATTGTATGGCCAGAAACACGCTTCCATGTTACTTATATGCATGTACAAACAATTTATATAGTGTTGACAAGTGTGTGAAATTATTGACTGACAGTAACATTTCCTTAGCTTTGTATCTCTTGAAAGTTCGTTTCGAGATGGAGAAATACGAAATCAAAGTCTGAATAATTTACTTATTTGCGCAAACTGTTCAGAGGCCGCGAAGCTGATTGGAAGCTGTCGAATTCACCTGCGCATGAAGCGAGTTCCTATGGAGGGGTGATCAGATGTTCCTGAACAGAAAGGACAATTGTCTGCCTCACAGTCCCTGAACCACATAATTTTCCCTGCTGCCAAGCCCTCTCCGCAGTGCTAAAGCCCCAAATAAAGTCTAGATTTCCTCAGGTACAGGTTCTGAATCTCTGGTCTCCCTAGGGCTCCTTTTCAATTTAAATGGGCTTGTTTGTTACTATCAAAATTATATATATTCAGAGACTAAGCATTAGTCAAAAGGACACTTACATGTTTCCACAGCAGTACTGCTCGTCGACTTCTCCGCAACACCCGCCTTCCGAGGCACAGTCGAACCGGGAGGTTGAGTTGGATGAACCGTTTTTTGATCGCGCTACAACAGTACTTGGCATACTCCTCTGAAATGGAACCGTGAAGATCAGGGTTAGAATTGGTCTTCACCAACCTATGCTTGTCGTCAAAGGCAACTTACAGGATCGGTTGGTCAGACTCGCTGCCTTTGCTAATAGTGGTGGGTATTGCAGAGAATTTTCATATTGCGATGCAAAAGAATATATTGCGATATGTATTGCAATATATTGCAAGAGTTTTTTTCAACAAAAAATACACTACTTATAATTGAGTTTGCTCTTGATTTATAAAACAAAAACATAACGAAATCACTATGCTTGATTAAGCTTTAATAATAACTTTTAATCATGACAAAACAAAAATGTAAATAATATTTGGGCAAAAATGAAACAAGGAAAAGAATAATTTAACATAAAAACAGCAACTTGACCTGGTCAGGACATATAAGAGATCACTGGTCATTAATGAGTAAATATTTGCCCTAATTGCTAATACATGTTATCGGTGCTCATGACGTTAATCACTGGATTGTATGGTCCAGACTCGATTGTTTACAGGCAGCTGTTAAACTGGTGACTTATGGGGCAAAAAGGAAGTGATACCAGAATGAAATCGAAGTGTCTGAACAATGGGCTTCTTCTTTTCGGGGCGGTGGGGTAGCCTAATGGTTAAAGCGTTGGCTCGTCACGCCCAAGACCAGGGTTCGAATCCCCACATGGGCACAATGTGTGAAGCCCATTTCTGGTGTCCACCGCCGTGATGTTGCTGGAATATTGCTAAAAGCGGCGTAAAACCAAACTCAGTCAGTCAGTCAGTCTTCTTTCCGATCTGGTATGAAACATTATTTCCATTTTGTTTTGTTGTTTAACGCCGCACTCAAGCTATACGTTTTTTTGTAACTTGTATTCCAAAGTCCTGATATAGAGAAGGACCCTTGGAGTTGGTTCTACTATCTTCAATTTTTTCTCTTGAACTTGACTGTGACTGAACAGTTAAACACCGTTGGGTTTAATATGCAGGAGGGACTAGCCGAAATACTTCGAGTTATTCGAGGTTCAATACAACCTGAAAGAGATGGCTAAGACGGGACCAAAGTAGTACTTCGAGACAACATGTTATTTCGACATATCAAAGTGATGGTTTTATCATATCTTATAAGGTCTTCATCTACAATAGTCGTAACTGTTGTATAAATGAGAGACCTGCCGCGTTTTCGCCAAGCTTACTTCAATGGGCCAATTCTTCCCTCATTATGTTCCCTCACTGACGGTTCACAGGCTGACGAAAAAACGAAAAATATTCTCAAAGCATCCTTCAATGGAGGTAGAGAAGGAGCAAATGCCATATAGTGCTCTTACTTCGTGTGGGTTGGAGGCTGAGGGAGGTTCTAAGCCTACATCTCTTTATGTTCGAAGTATCAGTGAGGATCCAGAAGGATATAGTTGTTTCGAGACTTCTGTTGTGAGATCTCATATGAGCGGGATGAAGGGTCGTCTTAATGCCTAACGTCTGGTGCTGGTTCTACGTAGATAGATGCGTAGGACTCTGACCAGACGCAGTGATAAGTCTTCCTTACCTTGTGAGGATAAGTGAGAAGGTTTCACCAATCTAGAAGTTTTGGAACCAGATTGCCTGCCTGCTGGCTGGGTGAGTTGACTGTCCTAGTCATCAGTGGGGCCCAGTGGTTAATGGCTCGGATAACTGCCTAACCTCGGTGAATGATGTGAAGAAGCTTCTCTTCTGGAGACCACAGCCCTGAGGTTACATGTATGTCGAGGTGTGCTCCCCAACCTTGTAGAGACGCATTAACATACTGATGCAGGTTGAAGCAAAGCTCGTTCAGCAGGTCCTTGCGCAGACCTTTGAATTCGTCGTCCACCATAGGAGATAATGTAGTAGGGGATGTGGTAGTTGTGGTCTGAAGTCCTGCTGGTCCAAGAGTGAGGTTAGAAACCTCTGGATGGGTCGTAGTTGCAGTCTGCCCCTCTTCGTGAATGATTGCACTGACGTTTGGCAGCAATCATAGGGTGAAATCCTGACGTTTGAGTATAACGGCTTGTTGAAGTGATTTAATGCCAATGTCTAGGTAGAAGGGTTATCTAATAGACCGATCCAGTCTCGGCCGATAAGCCCCGCCCACTTCGTTTTTGACGTTAGGGGGGACAACCACTGGCAAATCACAATGGCGTCACCGCCGGCGAAACGTTACGTGATTACGAAAGTTGTTGATGAATTCTGCCTGTGATACTTTGGTATCCGTCGTTTGTGAATGTTATTTAAAGAGGCAAGTTATACGTATGTGATTTTTAATATATTTTTAGCTGGCAGATTACAACTGGCGAGTGAAAATGAGTTACATGCCCGATGAAAAAGCGTCTTGACTAGCTGCTGAGACTGTAGGAAGCGTAATTTCTTTCGAATCAATTAATCTATCTGGCAATTCACCTCCGTCACAGATATTAGCAGGGAAAGGATAACTGAATTTTGTTGTTTGGGTTTATAATTTTTTAAAACTCGTGAACACAACCACATGGTCATGTTGCAGATCGTTTCGGTATCTATAAATAGATTATCAACACTGCGCGTGGCGCCTTTACTTATCCGTTTGCGTTGTTCAAATTTAGTTCAATAATCAGAAAACATGGGTTTCTATCTTTTAATGAATTAAGAGAATGGTAAATAAAAAGCAGAAAATATTTCCCGTCTACTACTTCATGCACCTTATTTGTCTGTACAATTAATGTAAACAAATCAATCACAGCATAACTTATTTGATCTTATTTGGAAATCTGGAAAAGGTAATTGGGCTTGTAAACAATATGTTTCCATGGACGTATCTGGACATACCCAGAGGCAAATATTCAACAGCTGATCTGCAGCAACTATTAGTAAAGTTTCTCTCTTCAAAATCTGTACACCATGATAAAATGACACTGAATATAAGGAAATCATTTTTTTAATCATCATTTCCATTTAATTTTTCTATATGTACTTTGTTGTGGAATCCTAATTTACATACAAACTTCCACAATACTGGACTTCATGAACTGCCAGCGTTTATGTACAGGTATGTCACAGCACCAGAACACAAAGAAGATCCAAGATACAGTCTGCACCTGTACACTAGCTGACCCATCTTCCACAAATAGGAAACATGTGATGCAAAATTTTGGAACAGAGAATCCACAGTTATTCGAACAATTAACAAGCATTGAAATAGAATGTTACACAAAATACAAATGTAGATCTATTGTTTTTTCATCAGAGATGTTTATCTGCTAACTACTAGTGTAAATAAGGTGCAAAGAATATATCCTATGTTCAAAGCCTTCTGTCAATACAATTATTGCTTCTTATTTAAACAATGATAATCTTTGTTTTATTAGATCTGAGACCATATCCCAAGAGGACATAACACTGATTTTGATCTATTTCCTTTTCTGAGATACTTACTGGTGTCATAAAAATTATAGTAAAGTTGATTCAAAATTTGGTAAAAGTCATAACAAAGGTTTAGGAAAACAGACATGAAAATGTCCTGAAGCGTTCACCTCCTACAAACCAGTGTGCAATTTAATATGAAGCTCATTTTGCAAATAACCATCAACAAACCTTGAACAATTTGTCCAAATCCACCATCTTAATAAACACTAGCTTTGGCTCAGTCTTCAAATAGTAGTAACCTCCTAAAAAAACTTATGATTTATCAGAAGAATTACATCAAATATGGGTTAAATATATGTTTCAATCTTAATTCCGTTACATGAAAAGTCACCTGAGATTTTTGTAAGTTATTCTGTTCCAGGACTAGATAATGCCTGACCAGGGTTTGACCAAAACGTAGCCTTTGCTTTTTCAAATTTTCTGGATGTTGAAATAACTTTAATGAGTTATCACTCACTTAGCAATCACTTTCAGAATTATCTTATTAGTAAATGTAGTATTTAAAAAACATCTAAAAGCAGGAGCCAAGAAACTAAGTTAATACCAAGTGATTGTCCTGCCATGATATGTATGGTGTTTGTTTGCCTAGTTCTGCCTTAAAATCTAAAAAATCTGATATGTCAATCAATTAAATAATTATTTATTACTGATTAGATTATTATTAATTTTATTACCCTTCCACGTTTACTAAAAAAAGCAAGATTCTTAAAACATACCTTGATATCATTTCCAGTGAATTAATCAAAATTACAGTTGTAATATTACTCCTAAAATGTACCATTATATGTGAATAATTTATGTGGTAACAAAACTTCAAATAATGTTCTCATAATTAAGATATACACTTTATTTCACTCCGTCCAATACTCCAGAAAGTCACTATTCTTCTCACATAGTTTTCGTATTCGATCAACCTGGAGGAAGGTAATTCAGTTCAAAGTCCCATGCAACTCTTTATAAAAAATCTGAAATATTTAAAGCATGGTTTTATAGGCACTCATATGAACTAATTTTGATACATGGATATTGCATGATAGGCAACTGCTGACACTGACAATATTTCCGTTTGAATAAAAAATATTACTCCTCGAATATTTTGCTCTGTTAACAAGATACTGTAGGCCTTCAGATTGTGCTTATGAAACTTAAAACATCCTAAAATGTGTGACAAATTGAAGAATATATAAGAGCGAAGGGGACAATATCCGCCACATTGTTCTTTCACGTAACATGTTTTGCTATTTCGGTTGACCCTAACCAAAATGAAGATTTGTTTACATTGTGTCACGGCTTTCTGGCCTGTCTCTTTTGAGCTTTGTGGCGTACCAACTCAATGCCTAGTAGTGACTAAAAACGATAAACAAAAACAATTTTGTAGTTACAAGAATTGTCCGTGTTTATAACACTTGCAAAGTCTTAAACTGCTATTTGTTGTCATCAATTGGTAATGATTTTGCACATGTGCAAAAGTGTGGAAATTCGTGCAAATTCTCATCAGCAGGCAGACGTAGGTTTCTTGAACGATGGTGCAGACATTTAACTGATCGTCAGGCCTATCGCGTTTCTTGATCCGCCTCAATTTTTGTTGTCTTGACCGTAATGGTTTTGTTAAGGTACACATCAAATCGCAGCAATATGTAATAAATATAGCGAGTGTAAATGGCATAATTCGAAGCACATCGCTTCGGATGCATCGTTTGACCCCGGAAATAAGTCTGACAAATTCACACAGCGCGCCCGGCCTGCTGATTGGCCAAAATTGACGCATGCGCCAGTTTTGATTGACAGACTGGATCGGTCTATTACCTTACTGTGCAGGAAGCACACGATAGGCTTGGTTACCCGTGTGAATAACCACGGGCCATGAAAATGCCAAACTGTAGAACCCTCCACTGGGATTTTTGATGGTTGAACAGGAATCGTAGATACTTCCTGGACCCTGGGTGGATTAGCACAGGCAGATTCCATAAATCTATGACAGAAGGTTGTTCTGTCTTATCATCTGCTTCAACTGTAGAAGGTGGAGAATTCTGAACTTCTCTGTCTTCAATGAGTAATCATTGTTGAACTTCTTCATATTAGTCTGGACTTTTCTGATAAATTGTTCTTGGGAGCGAAGAAAATTGGGGAGCAGAACCCCAGGTCGAGTGCCTCTTGAGGTATAACTTCTATTGCATCTTTAAATAGAAGTGACTCTGTCGCATCTGTGAGCTTGGGTTGCAGGGTTTCTGCGTAATGTATCTACGGAAGATAGATGGAGCGATGACGTTATGTTCACCGAAATGGTAAATCTATTCGTTAAGATTTTTGTGATGAATGTTTGAGGTTTGAGGTTTGACCAATACTTCCTTGTCTACGTAGTTAGGTCACTCCCGCCGATGCTGACCAGATCTGATTGGAGAAAAACTTCTAGTACTTCTGTTGGTTGACCATGGACATTCATACATTCTTTGTCGGACTGTGGATCTTTGAAGTGTGATATCATCGCCTTGTTGATGGATCTGGACATGGTGAGGCTCAGGAAGACTCGTCTGAGCTTGGTTCTTGATCACTTGCAAAGTTGCTTTAGTTGATGTTAAGATGAAGGAGGACGACCCTTCGATGGGGAACCTCTGGGTAACCTGTCTGCAATCCAAGTTAGCAGTTGATTGATGTTGGACCTTCATGATGTGAGTCTAACCCTGTTGACTAACCCAATATGAAAGAGGGAAGAATCATACAGGCTTGGTAACGTGCATCCTCTGCACATGCGCAGCTTGGAATGTTTTGGGGTGAGATGTGTTTTTTCTATTGAAGGGGAACACAAGCACTTGATTTTCCACTACTATTCAGAAATAAGATGCTCCCTTGCTCAAGACAATCTGAAGTATCTCCCTTGCTTGCCCTTGAGCCATAAAGTTGAGAATAATCACATAGATTTTGATGGTTAAACATATCCAAGACTTTTTTAGTGTTGCATTTGTTTTGCCACATGTTATGTTCGTTTTCAGTCAATTTTAATCAGATAAATCCCAAGCATACACATATTTTCTCAAAGAGTTCAATAGTCCAAAAGGAGTGGTCATTGTTTCAAAATGTTTTGTACTATTCTCAAATTATGTATTTCTTGTCTTTTCATGAAACTGTGAATCACTATGAACATTATGGGTGTGTAAAGAATGGCAATACATGTACAAAAAAACTCTCTTTCCCACAAGGGAGGTCATAGGAATATAAGTGACGTTAAATAGAGAGTTGTCTCCCTTTGACTTCTGAACCATCTAATTTAGAAATATGCTTGAAATATGATAAATATCTCTACGCCACAGGATAGTATATTCCACATAATCCATGAGATCAACAAACAGTCTCATTTTTCACATCGTCATGTAAACATGCCTTGTTATGTAAACGCATCCCTCACTATCGTTTGGATCTGTAACAGGCGACATCCACTAGTCCTACAAATAGAATAGAACGCTGTCCCAGGTTATATTTCATACATAGTGTAATATCCATCCACGTGTTTCCAACAATGTATTTCCTGTTTCAGTGCCTTGTGTTTAATGCAGTCTTAACCTGGGCACACACGCTTTGCTATGTACAACAGACATGACCTGTAGGTCAGTGTGTTAGTGAGCCTACCGTTCAAATCTTTTTGCACAACTAAAGTGCAAACCATGCTTATAAAATTGTAAAAATTAAGTTTTACAGTAATTTAGACGTGTAATCACAACAATTCATTTAATAATAGTTCTGTTAGCATTTCCCAGCTTATGTGTTATGCACTGATATTTGATTGTGTCACTTCGATGACAAACACTTAAATCAAAAATAAATATTTTATGAATCCACAATTAATTCCATAAAAAACCCTCGTGTGAACGTGGCAAAGATGGTGTTTATAATCTAAAAAACATCAATATGATAGGAAATTAGACGTGAATATAGACCAGAAATGAATGGATAGTGATTAATGAAAACACAAATAATGAGTGCAGGTGAACTAAAATTGATTAACAATATTTTTTTATTTGATTTTTGTTGTTCTCTCCGACGTCCGCGCATGTCAAATACAAACGGTGTCATCGCGCGGGTCGTTTCATAGTGGTTTTGACAGCTGCTGATATCAGACATTCGCCCTGTTCCCTTATACCCATGCACTTACCGAGAAGCTATCGAAGTTAGTGTTCTTTTAATTTTAAAATTTCAATAGAGAAGTGACAGACCAATAGTTGGTATGATTCATTCATTCATTCATTCATTCATTCTTTTTTGCTTCGTTAGAAGAAATGTAGTTGTATGATAAGGCAGTATATATAAGACAATATATTTCGGTAATATATATTGCAGGAGTATTGAGCCCCAAGCAAAGAAATCCTGCATGTCTTACAACTGCACTGGAACTGGAAAAGCCTACCATTCCCGAATTGGCTTGTACAAGCACAAGAAGAGTCCTCAACAAAAGCAGAGGTACCCACCACCCACCACCATCATCACCACCCACCACCCGGAACCACTCACCACCAACACCCACCACCAACACCATCCTCCTCCTATGACTCCTCCAACTTGGCAGCAGCAGCAACCACGTTCACAACACTGGGGTTCAGAAACCCATCCTCTGAGGTCAGAGGCATTCCTTCTGACTTCAAAAAGAATGAGTTTCTCAACCCCAGGATAAATAATAATGAGCAGGTGGGAAACATAGTTTGATATATCGAGCAGAGACATACAAAATGGTTAATGTTATGATGTGATGTATCGTGAAGGTAATTTTAGCACCTGTTGCTACTTAAACTTACGGGGATATTAAATATTGTGTATAGAAGTTGTATATTGTCGTTGTATATTTAGCTCTATAGCTTTTCATTTACGCAACCAGTTGTCAATACACAAACGGACGACTTGAGTTTTTTTTCAACATGGCGTCGTCCCCGCTACAAAGGACGCGAGCTATGACGTAGTTTACGCATGCATGGACGCGAGGGGGATTCCCCTCATGACGTCAGCCAATCGATCGTAGGCGAGGGAATGAGATGAGGGAACATTTCGCCCATTGGAATAAGCTTGGGGAAACTGCGCTTGCTCTCTCATTTATACAGCTTCTTACAATTGTGTTGATAAAAGTAATTTTCTTCAAGCATGCACTGACACTGGTTATGTTTGACCTTCATGGAAACCGTTCCCAACGAGCTGTGACAAAACGTTTGAGAGATATTCATGTAATACTGCGCACCTAGCACCGACACATTACTGTGTTAACGTCATACATACCTTCTGTTACATTAACTGGCCTCTCGTTGTCTACATGTGGACTGTCACAAGCCGCGGCGCCGTGAATCCCTACAAATAATGCTTTTAATTACATTTACGCGTTTTGCACATCTGGACATTATATCACAGGGAACAACATTATCAGTGAACCGTGTCCATGACACAAGGAAGTACACCCAGTATACAGTATTACTCTAATAAACGATGATTATTAGTTGAAATTGAAACTATGTATTTACACCTTTGATTGGATACATGGGGCAGGTCTCAGTGTATTCACATTCTACTGTCTGAGCTTATAGGTGTGAAAGTAGGTCAGGTAATCAGGTATGTCACAGGTATTTGATGTTCGACTTTTGAATCTGAATCACCGCTACAAACAGTATGTTTACGATAAGACAGTAACACATGTGGGTAAAACAATGACTTACCTGCTACATAGTGTACAACTAGAAGACACACAACAGGGAGAGTTGATGTTCTGAGTACAGACTCCATGTTCTACCGTTTGTTCTATTGACGAGTGGTGAGTGTCACAGGTAATAGTGCCCCGTGAAATAATAGACACATGGTTCAAAGGATAGGTAATTTCATATATATATATATATATATATATGTGGGTTTTCTCGGTTTAACACCCATTGAGAAAGTTAAAAGCAAAAATAATAGGGCATCTTTATTGTTACTCATTTGGTTGTAATGAATACACGACAAAGGATTTTTTCGTTGTCCTCACGCAAATAAGAATGAGATATGAAAAAATCGTATAATTATTTTGTCTATAGGTGACATTAGTTTATTGTTTCAAAACGTAAATCAACTGAAATACGAGACGAGGTACTTGAACAGTTAACATTATTGACTGATGACTAACCAAGCGTTTTCATGGCAAAGGTGTTAAACCTTCAACACTTACCTGGTCTCCAAATATATTTGCATAGTTTGTAAATTCAGCTATATATTTATTCATCGGCATAATACATCCTCTCGGTATCCTCTCCTGGCCACTGCCTGAAGTCAACTACTTGTGCCCTTCAATCAGTCTAGTCCACTCTGTCCAAGCCAATCAGTATCCAAGCCCATCTAATGTATTTCTATTACAGTCCAGGTGTTATGAGGTCAGCTGCATTCTAATAGCCTTATCATCAAACCTAACTTGTACCATAGATATAATATAACCGAATGTAACTATATGGACAAAACCTTTCGTCTTACTGCCTTGAAAATATACACAAAATTAACTAAAGTAAGTGTTTTCCCTCTAAACGCCTAAACAGCAAAATGCGGCAGTTCATTCCACATTTGGTAAATTGGTATAGAATAACAATTTGCTTTTTTTGCAACATTTTGAGCGAGTGAGAGAATGATTATGGGTTTACGCCGCTTTTAGCAATATTCCAGCAATATCAGGGCGGGGGACACCAGAAATGGGCTTCACACATTGTTTCCATGTGGGGAATAGAACCTCCGGTGTGACGAGCCAACGCTTTAACCACTAGGCTACCCCACCGCCCCTGCAACAAGAGAGTGGATGTTGTTGGGTCGCGGGTGTCGTAAAGAGAGGGGATGGTATCGGGGTCAGGGGTGTCGTAAAGGGAGGGGGTGGTTTGGGGACGGGTGTCATAAAGAGAGTGGATGTTGTCGGGTCACGGGTGTCGTAAAGAGAGGTATTGGTGTCACGGGGACAAGGTGTCGTAAAGAGAGTGGATGGTGTCGGGTCGCGGATGTCGTAAAGAGAGGGGATGGTATCGGGGTCAGGGGCGTCGTAAAGGGAGGGGGTAGTGTCGGGGACAGGGGTGTCGTAAAGAGAGAGGATGGTGTCAGGGTCACGGATGTCTTCATCAATAGACAGAGGGCAACATTTCACTACACATGCCAAAAACACGGTCGGCATTGAGACTGGTGTAATCACCAAGTACGTCTTGTGAACTGGAACATTTTGATTTATGATGGTGGTCACGACGCATTTTATTCGTCCTGTGTAGTGTACTTCAGACAAAAAGATGCACAGATCAACCCTATTTCTGATTTAATCAACGCACCGTTTGTGTCCACCACAAACACGGCATCAGCTGAAGTCATATCAGCTGGCCTCTCTTTTAAAAACAACCACAGCACGTTGCCCTGTCATCAATGTACGAAAATCGAGAGCGACATGAAGTGTATACCCAAATTGATGTTTGGCAAAGATAAATTGATGTTATGACGTCATGTTATGTTTTTTTTATTTATTTTTTATTCTTTCTTTAAACATGTTCAGTGGAAACCTCTTTTTTAGCATTATTTATTAGCAATATAATTCCACGATTTTTACATGCCCTGTACAGTGTCACGTGGATGGACATACCAGGGTGTTGGGGTTAATATATGATTAGTCATATTTAGATATACACTTGTCATAACTGTTAAACGCTATGCACATAAAGATTTCACTCTCTGACTTCCATTTTTTCTGATATGTTGCAGTATTTTATGATGTAATTTTAGATGTTTTATGAAAGTGTCATAATTACAATTACTTCTAGTGACTTTGCAGCGATACACTATAAATTTAGCAAACATCAATGCATACAATTAATTGTAATTAAATAATTTACAGTCTTCGGAGTCTCCATTAAGGCCATATAATACAACATCTCTGTAATTTGGATATACCTTATCTTGAATATTTGCTTTTGCCCATTTAAAATAGGAAAGCCAGAATGGCAAAACGTGAGAGCAATAAACCATATAATGTCTGATAGTGTAAACATTGCCACAGTGTTCACACAGCTTACTATCTTTAACATTGCCACAGTGTTCACACAGTTTACTATCTTTAACATTGCCACAGTGTTCACACAGTTTACTATCTTTAACATTGCCACAGTGTTCACACAGTTTACTATCTTTAACATTGCCACAGTGTTCACACAGTTTACTATCTTTAACATTGCCACAGTGTTCACACAGTTTACTATCTTTAACATTGCCACAGTGTTCACACAGTTTACTATCTTTAACATTGCCACAGTGTTCACACAGTTTACTATCTTTAACATTTAACTTGTTCAGATATATATTGCAAGGCAAAATTGAGTGAAGAATCTTAAACTGTAATTGTTTGTATTTATTTTCTAATTCTGATTCTTGTACAATTTTCCATTTATAAGTATCCTCTTCTGCCACAGAACAAATATTATGCATTAAGCTGTACCAGGACTTGACATTATCAGGACTATCAGCAACTTTTACACCGTTTATATCGTGGCAAACATCACTTGGAAAAGACTGACTGACTGAGTTTGGTTTTACGCCGCTTTTTTAGCAATATTCCAGCAACATCACGGCGGGGGACACCAGAAATGGGCTTCACGCATTGTACCCATGTGGGGATTCGAACCAGGGTCTTCGGCGTGACGAGCCAACGCTTTAACCATTAGGCTACCCCTACGCCCCTGGAAAAGAACAAGTCATATATTTATAGTAAACATTTTGACCAATTGCTCTTTTTATGGCATTGGTATACAATCTGTATTTTCTTTGGGGAATTTTAATCCATACATCCTAGATAATGTTTGTCTTTGCAGGAAATTTAGTAATTGCCAAACACAAATAATACCTGCTTCTTTCCAATCTGAATCATATAAGCTTTTTCTGTTTATAAGCACATGTTTATTGTTCCAAATAATTTGATTAAAAATGTCAACATATTTGTAAAAATGGAATTTCCAGATATTCAAGATACATGGAAGGCCAATAATACCACTCAGTCGCACATTGATTTGTGGCTTATTTCTGAAAATTTGTGTAAAACAGTTCAAAATTGTTGTATACAACCCAGCATTCGTAGTGACCATAAAGCTGTAATTTTACAATATTATGAGGAAAGGAAAAGTAGGCCTAACTTTTGGAAATTTCATAATTCGTTACTTAAAGATCAAGAGTATGTAGATAAAATTAAAACTTTCTTTAAGAATGTAAAGGAAGATTTAGACCCAACAATGCACTGGGATTGGACTAAATTCCAAATAATGACAGTAAGTATTGTATATGCCAAAACTAAAAATAAATTGCAGTCCAAAAGGGAGAGAAAACTTATAAAGAAATTATCCGTATTGGATAATCAGTGATAGGATAGTGATGATGAAAACCTACGAAAGGAATATGAGGATAATAAGACTGAATTAGAATTGATTTATGAACGAAGAGCTGAAGGGGCTTTCATAAGATCACGAGCTTACTGGGCAGACAAGGGTGAGAAAAGTAATAAATATTTTTATATAATTTAGAAAGACAGAGACAAAGTTAAAAAGTTATCGGAGAAGTAGTGAATGGTAACGGTGTCAGAATAGAAAATGAACAAGATATACCGTCATGTTATGTTGATGTGGCAGATGTGTATTTGGGGCTTCACGCTGTGTAGCCATGTGAGGAGTCATGCCCGTGGAATCTTCAGCGTGACGGAACGCTTTGACCACTAGGCTACCCCAGAGCCCTTGAAAGAGAGCGAGTGTCGATTTAATGCAATGAAGTATAGTATTATTGCCAGAAATGCATTATCTATGTTTAGAGACGGGTATTGTGACATAGTATGAAGAAAGTCCAGTGTATGGTTCTTCAGATATCTCGCTGACAATCTTTACATGCAGGTTAACATGCTGAAATCTTTAAAGTGTCGCCATGACCTTGAAAATGAAGTGAAGTTCACCAAAATCGACTGGGCCCTGCGCCTTCCATGGATGAAGCTTGGTGTTGAATATGAAGAAAATCCAGTGTATGGTTATTGAGATATCTCGCTGACAAGGGTAAAACGTTAAAGTCCCCTTGAGACCTTTGGTCAAGGTCACCAAACCTGACTGGGACCTGTCTTTTACTGTGATGAACCTAGGTACCAAATATGAAATGAATCTAGGCAACGGTTCTTAAGATATTCCAGTTCGTACGTACGTACGGACGGAGACTAATACTATATCCCCCGCTTCGCGCTAAACGCGCGGCGGGGGATAATTATCAGAATGGATTACTGTAAACCTGGCTCATGCAGTGTATGATGGTGCCCCACTTAGATCTATTTGGGTCAACGCTGACGTGGGTTATTAAGTCAATATACGTGTAAATATACCTAAAACACCATTTCCATAACCATGAAGAAACACCCACCCACCTCCCCCCAAAAAAGGAAAAAAAACCCCAAAATAAAGCCAACAAATAAAATCAGTTCTTTGTAGGAATCCGACTATATCATACGTGTGTTTATGGTTAATATCAGTCAGTGATGATGACATAACTTAGTAAAAAGTCGAACGTATCCTGCCCTACTGATGCTCATCACAGGTTACCCGTCATGCTGTTGATCACTGGATTGTCTGGTCCAGACTCAATTATTTACAGACCGCCGCCATATAGCTGGAATATTGCTGAGTCCTGCGTAAAACTAAACTCACTCACTCACGGGTTACCCGTGAAGATCTGAATTAGGGTTGTTCATCAGCAACCCATCCCTGTCTTAAGAGGCAACTACCGGGAGATGGATGGACAGACGCGCTGATTCGGTTGATGCTCATGCTGTTGATCAC